TGGGTTGAGGTGGGGCTGTGCGCGGAGGTACTGTAGTGATCGGTGGTCTGTCCATACTGTCACGTCTGCGCTGGTCAAGTAGCAGCGCCACACTTTGAACGCATGCACGATCGCGAGCATTTCGCGGTCGTGTATCGGGTAATTTCGCTCGGGCGGATGCAAATTTCGTGACTCGTATGCGATGGGCTGTAGGCCGTTGCCGAAGTCCTGTAGCAGTACGGCTCCAATGGCGATGTCGCTTGCGTCTGTAACAACCTCGAAGGGGCGGTGTGGGTCGGCGATGCGCAGGACGGGCGGTGAACAGAGAACATTTTTCGGGGCAGAGAAGGCAGCATGCTCTTTCTCCCCCCACGTAAAAACGACCCCCTTTCGCAGTAAATCCGTCAGCGGGGCGGTCAACTGTGCCATGTCGGGGACGAACCGATGAACATAATTAACGAACCCTAAAAAACTCTGCAGTTCCGTGATGTTCGTCGGGGGACGCCACGCTTTTACCGTATCCAGCTTCTTTGGGTCGATTTCAACTCCAGCCTCCGAAATAACGTGCCCAAAAAATTCTAGTCTGTCCCGAAAAAACTCGCACTTAGAGCCCTTGGTGAGTAACCGATGTTCCTCTAAAACTTTAAATACTGCTTCGAGATCCGCTAAGTGCTGCTGCTTGTCGCGACTGTAGACGAGGATGTCGTCGAGGTAAACTATCACGCATTTATCTAAGAGTGGCCTAAACGCCTCGTTCATGGTCATCTGAAATGTTGCGGGCGCGTTGGTCAGCCCGAAAGGCATCACCGTGTACTCAAACGACCCGTACCTAGTCCTAAATGCTGTCTTGGCGCAGTCCGATGGTTCGACCCGAATCTGATGGTAACCCCCCCGTAAGTCTATTTTCGAAAACACCCGTGCTGTTCGCAGTTGGTCGATCAGTTCGTCGGCGCGGGGAATGGGGTACCGCGACTTGACTGTTACCCTGTTGAGCGCTCGGTAATCGATGCACATGCGAAACCCTCCGTCTTTTTTCGGTGTGAACAGTATCGGTGCGGCGAACGGTGACGAACTTGGTCGAATAAACTGCTTCTCTAACAAATAATCTAACTGCTTCCTCAGTTCGTCGAGCTCGGGCTGTGTCAGTCTGAACTGGCGCTGTACAGTTGGCTGTGCCCCCGGTTCTAACTCGATCCTATGATCATGCACCCGCTGAGGTGGCAGCCCTTCCGGTAAGTCGTCTGGAAAAATCCCCGGGTACCGTTTCAACAGTTCCTGTAGTTCGGGCGGTACTGCTGCCAACAGTTTCTGAAAATCGCTCGGCTGCTCCGCTTCTCCTACTAATGCTATATCTACTGCGTACACGTCAGCTCCAGCGGCGACAACCCGTTTCATCGTGATGGCGTTGACGTGGACCGTTGAAGACTCGGGCGACTGCCAGCGAGGTAGCATGACCCAGTTACCGCTACTTCGCACAGTGCAGCTACCCGTCGTCCAGTCGATTCGTGGGTTGTACCGTCGTAGCCAATCACGTCCCAGTAAAACATCATGCCCATCCAATGTCGTCGCTAGCATTTCCTGTGTAAACCCGAAGTTTCCCCCGCAGCGAACTTTTACTCTCTCCACCTTCTCCCGTATGGCCAGCGGCGTGCCATCAACTAAGCGTGCGTCAATCTCAGGTAAGCAGCGACTAAGTGTCAGTTGTAATTTTCGCGCAGTTGCGGTATTAACTAAACTGTGGCTTGCTCCTCCGTCAATAAAAATCTTCACTGCTGCTCCCTGTATTTTCCCGTGGATCAGTACTGGGCAATCCGTCGTTGTACCCTCCTTATTCATCCGAGCCCGATCGATGGCGTGAATCGGTACTGTGACTCGGTGAGGGTCGGTGCGGTTGGGCGAGCAGGCAGTCTCGTCAGTAGTTGGCCCAACTTCTACTGACTGCTGGCGTTTCCCTGCCTCTGAGACTCCCTCCCCTGCTCTGCTCCGCGGCGCCTTAGCTCCTCTGGGCATTCGCTCTTGCGATGGCCCGGCCTGTTGCAAGCAAAGCAGCGCCCCTTAAACGGTGCGGCAGCTGCATTCGTTGCAACAGCGTTTACAGTGGCGTGCTCGATCGGTCCCCGAGGACGATGTCCGTAGTAGGACCCCGGTCTCGGTCGGCGTAGAATGTCGATTTTCTCGGCGAGCGCGAGAATCTCGTTGAAGTTTGAGAGTCCGCGCAGCATGATTTCGTGCGAGATATCCGGCTTCAGCCCTCCGACGTAACGGTCCACCCGCTCCGCTTCGTGCATGTAGCCGACCTGCTCGCAAAGTGCGAGAAAACTGCTCGTATAATCTTGAACCGACCCGAGCTGCCGCCAAGTGCGCAATCTCTGACGCGCCGAAATAGAAGCCGCGATCGGCTCGAAGCGCGCCCGAAGCCCTGCGCACCATGCATCCCACGTGCTGTATTGGGCGGTCTCACAGAATGAACTCCAGGTGACAGCTGGACCCGTGGGCCCTTCCTCTTGCGACGGTGGCTCGTAGGCGCGTGGCGACGTCACGATGACTCGCCACCAGTCCATGGCGGGGCCCCTTAACAGCGAAACGGCATACCGAATCTTCGCTGCGTCCGACTCGACGTAATTCGCGTCGAAGAAGACGTTCATCGTGAAAACCCACGATTGAACCGTCGGACCTCCACGCTGGCTCGGGTCGAAACAGGGCGGGCGTTGCGGCTTGAGTGGCATTGGTGCCATGATGGCCTGTTCGCCACTTGTCGCCGCGAACTCCACGTGCCGACGGGCTTCGCGAGGCTCCCGCGGGCTTGGCGCCCCCCTGTTTCCTCCCATGCCAGGCATTGGTTGGGCGGCGCTATCACTGGCTGCGCCCGAGCGCTGTCCCACGCTGTCGTGTTGTGTTGGTGTCCCGGACGAGATGACGATTGGCTCGTCCGATTGTGCAGGTGCATTTGTTGGTGCGTGTGGTGCTGCTGGAGTGTTCACCGTTGATTGCTGACGCGCGGAGTCACGTTCCGCTGTGAGCATCGCAATTTCGAGCGCCGAATCTTCGAGTTGGCGCACCAGACGGTCGAGCTGCTCCTGCGTCAATGTGGCGAGCGTGAATTCGGCCATGGCGGGGGGGTGTCAGGCGAGCTCAGCGAGAGCCTCAGTCGTGGCCTTGCGTGCTTACGAGAGAGCACTACGAGTGGCGGTGCTGTGTCGCTGAGAGACATCTATCCCCCCCAAAAATTGAGATAGTGGGGAAGCGAAGGTGCGGGTGCGGTGCGAGAAGAGATCGTAGGCTCTGAATACCAAGTGTTACGAGTGCAATGGAGTGAACGAACGAGAATTGCACTATCGAAGCAAGGGTACAATGAGCGAAGGCATGAGCGAAGAATATATAGCGAAACTACAGTGGTAACGGTAATGGACTGTGGTTGTCGCGCGACGGGCCTGGGACTGAGGTTGGGAAAAGTGTCGAAGCGGAGGCCCGGAGCGCGGGTTACCCGCCGAGCCGTGAGGTCGGGGTGCGACGTGCGAACGTGGCGGGCGGATTGTCGATGCGAGGATTGCGAGTGGTAACGGTGCTGACTGTGGCGCTACAGTGATGTACGTGTTGAGCAGGGACGCGAAGTAAGGAAAAAGAGATTTTCCTTACAGTAGTACTCTTCCATCTACATCTTCGGTGTACTCGAAATCCTCGATCAGCGTGTTCACATCCTCGTTTTGCACCTCCCGTAATCAGAATGATCTCTGCATACGAACTCAGAATATCCAATGCCTGTTTCTGACAAATGTCAGAATACGGTTTCAAGGTTCGCGTATGACAAGGAGACTCCACACTTGGCCTAAAGTCGGGACTCGGAATTGAAGAAACGTCAGGTTAGATTCTTCCAATAAATCAGAACATGGGGGAATTCTATCTAAGCGTCCAATTGTTTGAGTTTCAAACGTCTCCGCTTCTTGTCCCAGCCCCAATCTGATTTTCTCCCACCCAGTACTGAAAACCCCTCATGACTCCCAAGCAAGTTGTTTCCACCTGCAGCTCTTCACGTTGTCATTCGCGAAACGCACGAGCAGATACATCTAGCTTCGTTATCGGTGTGCGAAACGAGAGCCAATTAGCGGGGCGAGGCTCTGGTAGCCGTTGCAGGTGTCAGAGGGTGTGAGAGGGAGACTCCAATTCCAATCTGCTCCCATCAGACCTTCCTCCCGCTTTTCCTCCCTTTCCATGGCTGCCGCCGCCCTTGTTGCCTGAGACCCATTCGTTGGCCAATTAATCACCCGTTTTTGCCTCCATCCCGCCGAGCCGACAGCGCTGCGTGTCCATGTTCTAACTCTTCAACCCACCGACACGAATCCACCTATCCTGGCGCTTTTGACCTCCGATTTCGCGGTTGGGGTTCGATTATCCCTGACACGACAATTCTCGACCAGTCCATCGAATTTCCGTTTAACCGTTGCGTTTTTCGCGGTTCTACTTCGTTTTGATGAACGGTGGGGATTTTTTGCACGCTCTCTGGAGGTGGTAGAATGTCGGTCGGTAGCCTTGGGGTTGGGTTGTGGCGAGGACCCACGCTTTCGAGAAGCAGCCTCGTTTTGCCTTCTAGTCCGCCTGCTTCGCGTTTTGCTGCCGTTTTCTCACTCCAGCTTCTCGGCTCACGACGTTCCTTGCCAAAGCGACGTCGTACTCTTGTCGATCCAGAGCGTTCTGTGGAGTTTACACGGCACTCTTGCTGCGGATTAGGACCAGATTTTGCTCGTGCAAGGCAGTCTTCGCTATTCGCCGTTAGCCTTTACCGCTCAGCGTAGTTTTCTGGATTTCACGTGGAAGAGTCGATTTTCGACGTCCGTTTTTCGCGATTCACGTGAAATTTCGGTTTCGACGTCGATTTTCGCTGGTTGTCGCCAACCTCTCCTGTTCCGCGTCGATCTTCGCAATTCCGGTAAAAATAGCTCTAGGTCGGATAGCTTATTCGTTGATTCGTCAGCTTCGCGATTCTCGGAAAAGCAGCTAATCGTCGTGTCTCTCGCGACTTGCAGGCGAACGCACAACCATTTCGAGTCGTCCGACATTCCAATCCGCCATTTCTCGCGCTTCCACGTCAACCGTCGCGACTGCGCCATCCGTTACACTTCGCGACTTCGCCATCCGTTACGCTTCGCGACTTCGCCATCCGTTACACTTCGCGACTTCGCCATCCGTTACACTTCGCGACTTCGCCATCCGTTACACTCGTCACCAAGTAAGGAAGCTCGTTAGCTCGCGTGCTCTTCCGTGAAAGCTTTGTGTTTTCTACCCGCGATCTTCGTTTTCCCAGCAATTCTAACTCCGTGTGTCGCGTGACTTGGCAGACGCACCATCCTGAGCGGCAATGAGTGGGGATGGAGCAGGCCAGGCGGGGACGATTGTCAACCGAGAGCAAGCGGGCGTGATCAGGCTCTGCCACGCGCTGTTGGATGGCCGCCCTCCACTCCACCCATCACCACGCAAGGTACTCCCCTCGCTTCCCTCCTTCTCTCGCCACCACCGCGTTTTCTGCTCTCGTTTTCCACTGCTCCAGAGGTGCTCTCGTTCTCCCCTGGTGTCGCCTCCTCCTCCTTGGTTTTGACTCCTCTCCACTGGTGTCGCCTCCTCCTCCTTGGTTTTGACTCCTCTCCCCTGGTGTCGCCTCCTCCTCCTTGGTTTTGACTCCTCTCCCCTGGTGTCGCCTCCTCCTCCTTGGTTTTGACTCCTCTCCCCTGGTGTCGCCTCCTCCTCCTTGGTTTTGACTCCTCTCCCCTGGTGTCGCCTCCTCCTCCTTGGTTTTGACTCCTCTCCCCTGGCGTCGCCTCCTCCTCCTTGGTTTTGACTCCTCTCCCCTGGTGTCGCCTCCTCCTCTTTGGTTTTGACTCCTCTCCCCTGGTGTCGCCTCCTCCTCCTTGGTTTTGACTCCTCTCCCCTGGTGTCGCCTCCTCCACCTTGGTTTTGACTCCTCTCCACTGGTGTCGCCTCCTCCTCCTTGGTTTTGACTCCTCTCCCCTGGTGTCGCCTCCTCCTCCTTGGTTTTGACTCCTCTGCCCTGGTGTCGCCTCCTCCTCCTTGGTTTTGACTCCTCTCCCCTGGTGTCGCCTCCTCCTCCTTGGTTTTGACTCCTCTCCCCTGGTGTCGCCTCCTCCTCCTTGGTTTTGACTCCTCTCCCCTGGCGTCGCCTCCTCCTCCTTGGTTTTGACTCCTGTCCCTGGTGTCGCCTCCTCCTCCTTGGTTTTGACTCCTCTCCCCTGGTGTCGCCTCCTCCTCCTTGGTTTTGACTCCTCTCCACTGGTGTCGCCTCCTCCTCCTTGGTTTTGACTCCTCTCCCCTGGTGTCGCCTCCTCCTCCTTGGTTTTGACTCCTCTGCCCTGGTGTCGCCTCCTCCTCCTTGGTTTTGACTCCTCTCCCCTGGTGTCGCCTCCTCCTCCTTGGTTTTGACTCCTCTCCCCTGGTGTCGCCTCCTCCTCCTTGGTTTTGACTCCTCTCCCCTGGTGTCGCCTCCTCCTCCTTGGTATTGACTCCTCTCCCCTGGTGTCGCCTCCTCCTCCTTGGTTTTGACTCCTCTCCCCTGGTGTCGCCTCCTCCTCCTTGGTTTTGACTCCTCTCCCCTGGTGTCGCCTCCTCCTCCTTGGTTTTGACTCCTCTCCCCTGGTGTCGCCTCCTCCTCCTTGGTTTTGACTCCTCTCCCCTGGTGTCGCCTCCTCCTCTTTGGTTTTGACTCCTCTCCCCTGGTGTCGCCTCCTCCTCCTTGGTTTTGACTCCTCTCCCCTGGTGTCGCCTCCTCCTCCTTGGTTTTGACTCCTCTCCCCTGGTGTCGCCTCCTCCTCCTTGGCTTTGACTCCTCTCCCCTGGTGTCGCCTCCTCCTCCTTGGTTTTGACTCCTCTCCCCTGGTGTCGCCTCCTCCTCCTTGGTTTTGACTCCTCTCCCCTGGCGTCGCCTCCTCCTCCTTGGTTTTGACTCCTGTCCCCTGGTGTCGCCTCCTCCTCCTTGGTTTTGACTCCTCTCCCCTGGTGTCGCCTCCTCCTCCTTGGTTTTGACTCCTCTCCCCTGGTGTCGCCTCCTCCTCCTTGGTTTTGACTCCTCTCCCCTGGTGTCGCCTCCTCCTCCTTGGTTTTGACTCCTCTCCCCTGGTGTCGCCTCCTCCTCCTTGGTTTTGACTCCTCTCCCCTGGCGTCGCCTCCTCCTCCTTGGTTTTGACTCCTCTCCCCTGGTGTCGCCTCCTCCTCCTTGGTTTTGACTCCTCTCCCCTGGTGTCGCCTCCTCCTCCTTGGTTTTGACTCCTCTCCCCTGGTGTCGCCTCCTCCTCCTTGGTTTTGACTCCTCTCCCCTGGTGTCGCCTCCTCCTCCTTGGTTTTGACTCCTCTCCCCTGGTGTCGCCTCCTCCTCCTTGGTTTTGACTCCTCTCCCCTGGCGTCGCCTCCTCCTCCTTGGTTTTGACTCCTCTCCCCTGGTGTCGCCTCCTCCTCCTTGGTTTTGACTCCTCTCCCCTGGTGTCGCCTCCTCCTCCTTGGTTTTGACTCCTCTCCCCTGGTGTCGCCTCCTCCTCCTTGGTTTTGACTCCTCTCCCCTGGTGTCGCCTCCTCCTCCTTGGTTTTGACTCCTCTCCCCTGGTGTCGCCTCCTCCTCCTTGGTTTTGTCTCCTCTTCCCTGGTGTCGCCTCCTCCTCCTTGGTTTTGACTCCTCTCCCCTGGTGTCGCCTCCTCCTCCTTGGTTTTGACTCCTCTCCCCTGGTGTCGCCTCCTCCTCCTCCTTGGTTTTGACTCCTCTCCCCTGGTGTCGCCTCCTCCTCCTTGGTTTTGACTCCTCTCCCCTGGTGTCGCCTCCTCCTCCTTGGTTTTGACTCCTCTCCCCTGGTGTCGCCTCCTCCTCCTCCTTGGTTTTCACTCCTCTCTCCTGGTGTCGCCTCCTCCTCCTTGGTTTTGACTCCTCTCCTCTGGTGTCGCCTCCTCCTCCTTGGTTTTGACTCCTCTCCCCTGGTGTCGCCTCCTCCTCCTTGGTTTTGACTCCTCTCCCCTGGTGTCGCCTCCTCCTCCTTGGTTTTGACTCCTCTCCCCTGGTGTCGCCTCCTCCTCCTTGGTTTTGACTCCTCTCCCCTGGTGTCGCCTCCTCCTCCTTGGTTTTGACTCCTCTCCCCTGGTGTCGCCTCCTCCTCCTTGGTTTTGACTCCTCTCCCCTGGTGTCGCCTCCTCCTCCTTGGTTTTGACTCCTCTCCCCTGGTGTCGCCTCCTCCTCCTTGGTTTTGACTCCTCTCCCCTGGTGTCGCCTCCTCCTCCTTGGTTTTGACTCCTCTCCCCTGGTGTCGCCTCCTCCTCCTTGGTTTTGACTCCTCTCCCCTGGTGTCGCCTCCTCCTCCTTGGTCTTGACTCCTCTCCCCTGGTGTCGCCTCCTCCTTGGTTTTGACTCCTTTCCCCTGGTGTCGCCTCCTCCTCCTTGGTTTTGACTCCTCTCCCCTGGTGTCGCCTCCTCCTCCTTGGTTTTGTCTCCTCTTCCCTGGTGTCGCCTCCTCCTCCTTGGTTTTGACTCCTCTCCCCTGGTGTCGCCTCCTCCTCCTTGGTTTTGACTCCTCTCCCCTGGTGTCGCCTCCTCCTCCTCCTTGGTTTTCACTCCTCTCTCCTGGTGTCGCCTCCTCCTCCTTGGTTTTGACTCCTCTCCTCTGGTGTCGCCTCCTCCTCCTTGGTTTTGACTCCTCTCCCCTGGTGTCGCCTCCTCCTCCTTGGTTTTGACTCCTCTCCCCTGGTGTCGCCTCCTCCTCCTTGGTTTTGACTCCTCTCCCCTGGTGTCGCCTCCTCCTCCTTGGTTTTGACTCCTCTCCCCTGGTGTCGCCTCCTCCTCCTTGGTTTTGACTCCTCTCCCCTGGTGTCGTCTCCTCCTCCTTGGTTTTGACTCCTCTCCCCTGGTGTCGCCTCCTCCTCCTTGGTTTTGACTCCTCTCCCCTGGTGTCGCCTCCTCCTCCTTGGTTTTGACTCCTCTCCCCTGGTGTCGCCTCCTCCTCCTTGGTTTTGACTCCTCTCCCCTGGTGTCGCCTCCTCCTCCTTGGATTTGACTCCTCTCCCCTGGTGTCGCCTCCTCCTCCTTTGTTTTGACTCCTCTCCCCTGGTGTCGCCTCCTCCTCTTCCCAGCAGCGGTAGGTACAGGTAAGTACGCATGGGGGTGAAGTGTGGGGAGGGAGGGTTGGGAGCATGGGAGCAAGCGGGGAGTTCACTGCCTTAGGGGCAGCATCCTCTGGGGTTGTAACTTGTGAGTTGGGGTGTGGTGGGTGGAATCTATGCGGCACGGCACTCGGTGCTCAAGTAACTAACCTGACGTTAAGGCTTAATGGGCACCGTCAGAGCCGACCGGCCGGCGGCTCTGGTTCGCGTCAGCTCTAGCTACGTCAGGGGTGGGATTTGAGTCTTGAGCTGGAAGCGATTTTCCACTACCACACTTCATCCACAAGGCACAGCCTCAGGGGTTGCTGTTTCCTTAAGAAAGTGCGCTCTCTGCTGCTCCTACTGCTGGCAGGTAATGGTGTGGATGGGCTGGGTGGGTGAGTGGAGGGGAAAGGGCCCTGAAACCCCTTGGGTGGGTGAGTGGAAGGAAAAGGGGCCTGAAACCCCTTGGGTGGGTGAGTGGAAGGGAAAGGGGCCTGAAACCCCTTGGGTGGGTGAGTGGAAGGGAAAGGGGCCTGAAACCCCTTGGGTGGGTGAGCGGGAAGGGAAAGGGGCCTGAAACCCCTTGGGTGGGTGAGTGGAAGGGAAAGGGGCCTGAAACCCCTTGGGTGGGTGAGTGGAAGGGAAAGGGGCTTGAAACCCCTTGGGTGGGTGAGTGGAAGGGAAAGGGGCTTGAAACCCCTTGGGTGGGTGAGTGGAAGGGAAAGGGCCCTGAAACCCCTTGGGTGGGTGAGTGGAAGGGAAAGGGGTTGAAACCCCTTGGGTGGGTGAGTGGGAAGGGAAAGGGGCCTGAAACCCCTTGGGTGGGTGAGTGGAATGGGAAAGGGGTTGAAACCCCTAGGGTGGGTTAGTGGGAAGGGAAAGGGGTTGAAACCCCTTGGGTGGGTGAGTGGGAAGGGAAAGGGGTTGAAACCCCTTGGGTGGGTGAGTGGAAGGGAAAGGGGCCTGAAACCCCTTGGGTGGGTGAGTGGAAGGGAAAGGGGTTTGAAACCCCTTGGGTGGGTGAGTGGAAGGGAAAGGGGCCTGAAACCCCTTGGGTGGGTGAGTGGAAGGGAAAGGGGCCTGAAACCCCTTGGGTGGGTGAGTGGAAGGGAAAGGGGCCTGAAACCCCTTGGGTGGGTGAGTGGAAGGGAAAGGGGCCTGAAACCCCTTGGGTGGGTGAGCGGAAGGGAAAGGGGCCTGAAACCCCTTGGGTGGGTGAGTGGAAGGGAAAGGGGCCTGAAACCCCTTGGGTGGGTGAGTGGAAGGGAAAGGGGCCTGAAACCCCTTGGGTGGGTGAGTGGAAGGGAAAGGGGCCTGAAACCCCTTGGGTGGGTGAGTGGGAAGGGAAAGGGGTTGAAACCCCTTGGGTGGGTGAGTGGAAGGGAAAGGGGCCTGAAACCCCTTGGGTGGGTGAGTGGAAGGGAAAGGGGCCTCAAACCCCTTGGGTGGGTGAGTGGAAGGGAAAGGGGCCTGAAACCCCTTGGGTGGGTGAGTGGAAGGGAAAGGGGCCTGAATCCCCTTGGGTGGTTGAGTGGAAGGGAAAGGTGCCTGAAACCCCTTGGGTGGGTGAGTGGAAGGGAAAGGTGCCTGAAACCCCTTGGGTGGGTGAGTGGAATGGGAAAGGGGTTGAAACCCCTTGGGTGGGTGAGCGGGAAGGGAAAGGGGTTGAAACCCCTTGGGTGGGTGAGTGGGAAGGGAAAGGGGTTGAAACCCCTTGGGTGGGTGAGTGGGAAGGGAAAGGGGTTGAAACCCCTTGGGTGGGTGAGTGGGAAGGGAAAGGGGTTGAAACCCCTTGGGTGGGTGAGTGGGAAGGGAAAGGGGTTGAAACCCCTTGGGTGGGTGAGTGGAAGGGAAAGGGGCCTGAAACCCCTTGGGTGGGTGAGTGGAAGGGAAAGGGGTTTGAAACCCCTTGGGTGGGTGAGTGGAAGGGAAAGGGGCCTGAAACCCCTTGGGTGGGTGAGTGGAAGGGAAAGGGGTTGAAACCCCTTGGGTGGGTGAGTGGAAGGGAAAGGGGCCTGAAACCCCTTGGGTGGGTGAGTGGAAGGGAAAGGGGCCTCAAACCCCTTGGGTGGGTGAGTGGAAGGGAAAGGGGCCTGAAACCCCTTGGGTGGGTGAGTGGAAGGGAAAGGGGCCTGAATCCCCTTGGGTGGTTGAGTGGAAGGGAAAGGTGCCTGAAACCCCTTGGGTGGGTGAGTGGAAGGGAAAGGTGCCTGAAACCCCTTGGGTGGGTGAGTGGAATGGGAAAGGGGTTGAAACCCCTTGGGTGGGTGAGCGGGAAGGGAAAGGGCCCTGAAACCCCTTGGGTGGGTGAGTGGAAGGGAAAGGGGCCTGAAACCCCTTGGGTGGGTGAGTGGGAAGGGAAAGGGGTTGAAACCCCTTGGGTGGGTGAGTGGGAAGGGAAAGGGGCCTGAAACCCCTTGGGTGGGTGAGTGGAAGAGAAAGGGGCGTGAAACCCCTTGGGTGGGTGAGTGGAAGGGAAAGGGGCCTGAAACCCCTTGGGTGGGTGAGTGGAAGGGAAAGGGGCGTGAAACCCCTTGGGTGGGTGAGTGGAAGGGAAAGGGGTTTGAAACCCCTTGGGTGGGTGAGTGGAAGGGAAAGGGGCCTGAAACCCCTTGGGTGGGTGAGTGGAAGGGAAAGGGCCCTGAAACCCCTTGGGTGGGTGAGTGGAAGGGAAAGGGGCCTGAAACCCCTTGGGTGGGTGAGTGGAATGGGAAAGGGGTTGAAACCCCTTGGGTGGGTGAGTGGGAAGGGAAAGGGCCCTGAAACCCCTTGGGTGGGTGAGTGGAAGGGAATGGGGCCTGAAACCCCTTGGGTGGGTGAGTGGGAAGGGAAAGGGGTTGAAACCCCTTGGGTGGGTGAGTGGGAAGGGAAAGGGCCCTGAAACCCCTTGGGTGGGTGAGTGGAAGGGAAAGGGGTTTGAAACCCCTTGGGTGGGTGAGTGGAAGGGAAAGGGGCCTGAAACCCCTTGGGTGGGTGAGTGGAAGGGAAAGGGGCCTGAAACCCCTTGGGTGGGTGAGTGGAAGGGAAAGGGGTTTGAAACCCCTTGGGTGGGTGAGTGGAAGGGAAAGGGGCCTGAAACCCCTTGGGTGGGTGAGTGGAATGGGAAAGGGGTTGAAACCCCTTGGGTGGGTTAGTGGGAAGGGAAAGGGGTTGAAACCCCTTGGGTGGGTGAGTGGGAAGGGAAAGGGGTTGAAACCCCTTGGGTGGGTGAGTGGAAGGGAAAGGGGCCTGAAACCCCTTGGGTGGGTGAGTGGAAGGGAAAGGGGCCTGAAACCCCTTGGGTGGGTGAGTGGAAGGGAAAGGGGCCTGAAACCCCTTGGGTGGGTGAGTGGAAGGGAAAGGGGCCTGAAACCCCTTGGGTGGGTGAGTGGAAGGGAAAGGGGCCTCAAACCCCTTGGGTGGGTGAGTGGAAGGGAAAGGGGCCTGAAACCCCTTGGGTGGGTGAGTGGAAGGGAAAGGGGCCTGAAACCCCTTGGGTGGGTGAGTGGAAGGGAAAGGGGCCTGAAACCCCTTGGGTGGGTGAGTGGAAGGGAAAGGGGCCTGAAACCCCTTGGGTGGGTGAGTGGAAGGGAAAGGGCCCTGAAACCCTTTGGGTGGGTGAGTGCGGAGTGGAAGGGAAAGGGCCCTGAAACCCCTTGGGTGGGTGAGTGGAAGGGAAAGGGGTTTGAAACCCCTTTGGTGGGTGAGTGTGGAAGGGAAAGGGGCCTGAAACCCCTTGGGTGGGTGAGTGGAAGGGAAAGGGCCCTGAAACCCCTTGGGTGGGTGAGTGGAAGGGAAAGGGGTTTGAAACCCCTTTGGTGGGTGAGTGTGGAAGGGAAAGGGGCCTGAAACCCCTTGGGTGGGTGAGTGGAAGGGAAAGGGCCCTGAAACCCCTTGGGTGGGTGAGTGGAAGGGAAAGGGGCTTGAAACCCCTTGGGTGGGTGAGTGGGAAGGGAAAGGGCCCTGAAACCCCTTGGGTGGGTGAGTGGAAGGGAAAGGGGCCTGAAACCCCTTGGGTGGGTGAGTGGGAAGGGAAAGGGGTTGAAACCCCTTGGGTGGGTGAGTGGGAAGGGAAAGGGCCCTGAAACCCCTTGGGTGGATGAGTGGAAGGGAAAGGGGCCTGAAACCCCTTGGGTGGGTGAGTGGAAGGGAAAGGGGCCTGAAACCCCTTGGGTGGGTGAGTGGAAGGGAAAGGGGCCTGAAACCCCTTAGGTGGGTGAGTGGGAAGGGAAAGGGGTTGAAACCCCTTGGGTGGGTGAGTGGGAAGGGAAAGGGGTTGAAACCCCTTGGGTGGGTGAGTGGGAAGGGAAAGGGGTTGAAACCCCTTGGGTGGGTGAGTGGGAAGGGAAAGGGGTTGAAACCCCTTGGGTGGGTGAGTGGAAGGGAAAGGGGCCTGAAACCCCTTGGGTGGGTGAGTGGAAGGGAAAGGGGTTTGAAACCCCTTGGGTGGGTGAGTGGAAGGGAAAGGGGCCTGAAACCCCTTGGGTGGGTGAGTGGAATGGGAAAGAGGTTGAAACCCCTTGGGTGGGTTAGTGGGAAGGGAAAGGGGTTGAAACCCCTTGGGTGGGTGAGTGGGAAGGGAAAGGGGTTGAAACCCCTTGGGTGGGTGAGTGGAAGGGAAAGGGGCCTGAAACCCCTTGGGTGGGTGAGTGGAAGGGAAAGGGGCCTGAAACCCCTTGGGTGGGTGAGTGGAAGGGAAAGGGGCCTGAAACCCCTTGGGTGGGTGAGTGGAAGGGAAAGGGGCCTGAAACCCCTTGGGTGGGTGAGTGGGAAGGGAAAGGGGTTGAAACCCCTTGGGTGGGTGAGTGGGAAGGGAAAGGGGTTGAAACCCCTTGGGTGGGTGAGTGGGAAGGGAAAGGGGTTGAAACCCCTTGGGTGGGTGAGTGGAAGGGAAAGGGGCCTGAAACCCCTTGGGTGGGTGAGTGGAATGGGAAAGGGGTTGAAACCCCTTGGGTGGGTTAGTGGGAAGGGAAAGGGGCCTGAAACCCCTTGGGTGGGTGAGTGGGAAGGGAAAGGGGTTGAAACCCCTTGGGTGGGTGAGTGGGAAGGGAAAGGGGCCTGAAACCCCTTGGGTGGGTGAGTGGAAGGGAAAGGGGCCTGAAACCCCTT